AATATATTTGAAGGCCTTCGTATCAAATAACAATCAGTATTGCCTTGAATACAGATACTGAATTCGCATGGCTTATGTTCAATGGCGGCGCCAGTGGGGTACAAGGGATGCTCCCCTAAAAATATGGTTTGCACCCCTACTTCATATCTTAATAATTCTAAAATATGAGTCAGAATTCATCAAATTTTCAAAAATTTTCTCGAAAAAGAGTGAACAGATGCACTTCCTCAAAGTTTCCGAATATTGAATCTCAACCTCAACAGTTGTTCTACGTCCCCACCACCCCTCTCCCCCCTCATTAAGTCAGTCTACCCCTATTTGTACCCCGAGTCTCGGGAGGCTAGAGCCGCGCATTGTTCTTATTAGATCGTCAGCAATTCTAAATTCTTATATTAATAATAGATACATACAGTTATATTGAGATTTTGCTATGATAGGTTTCTAACTTATATGTTATGAACAATTCTTATGAATAATATAAATTATATGAAAAGTAATAATGAGACATATCATATTATAAATATAAAGAGTTATTATTACAATGAAATATAAGTCAATAATAATTAATAATATCTTAGGAAATGAAATGAAAATGGAGTTTAACATCTTTTCCCGTCTTCACAATGTCAAGCTATTTCGGACTTCTTCTTATACCTTGACTGCAATAGCCACTTGCATCAGGGAAGTTTGAAAATGCAATTTCATTGGATTGTACGCAAAGGAAATCAGCCAATCACAGAATGGATGTAAACAATAAGCAAAAAATGTGTATAGTTTTATGTCAAGGGCTCTGATTGTCTGTATTCGATAGCGTCCAATCAAATCACTGCATTACATGATACAAAAATAGTGGCTTTGGCAGTCAAGGTATAAGAAGAAGTTAATATTATCTTGATATTGTGAATATGGTCTTTCCCTGAAATCTATATTTTTACAGCTTTCAGTCCATGTTTGGTTTACTGGAGTAATGTGAGATAAGTAAAACATATAAAAGCTAGACCAAAGCAATGGCATAAAGCAGGTAATTAAATTCCAAAGAGACAAACAGACATTAAACAGGAAAGTTTGGAGAAAAAAATGGCAATATTAGTACAAGCACTATATGACATAAAATAACAATTAATGAAATAGACAATATATTTTTAAAAAAATTCTATTAACAATTTCACCGGGATGCTTCAACCTAGCTTTGCTAAGCTATATACAATTAACAAATACACCATATTCAAAGGCAAAAAAGTAGTTCTGAGTTGTTCTACAGTTAAAAGTGAATTACTGTTTTAGTACTTGACCTACTGTCTTGTCCAATGTCTTTGTATTGGGCATTGTAAGAAATACTTTGATAGAATTTAATGTTAGGACATCTCCAAAGAACACTATTGAAGTTACAAAATGACAACGTAAGTATAAATTTGTTTTTACCTTTTAATCTTATTACAGTTTAAAAGGATTTTAAAGAAGTTTTCTAAATTGTTATGTGTATCAGGGACACTGATATCATCAATTTGTACCATTCCAATTTTCAATCAGACTTGCTCTTGCAATTCCCCTTAAAGTAAGCTAATGACGTCACTATCGCCAAAGCTGCAATTGATATATAAGGACGTTTGCAATAGCGATGTCATAAAACGCATAGTTTTAGTGGAATTGCAGGAATCACAGACGTCTCATTGAAAATTGGAATGGTGCAAATTGATGCTATCAGTTTCCTCAATGCAAATAAAAAAAAATTAGAAAACCTCTTTACAATCCCTTTAACTGTTTTTTGAGTTAAAATGGAAACACCCTCTTTAACAAAGCGCTGGTATGGGTGTAGGCTTCTAATCTGCCACAGACACAGCAAGTCAAGTTTTGCCAATCTGCAAAACCAAGATAAAGGGCTATGTCCGTTTAGTTTTAACTGTAAGACAAATCAGAACTGCTATGCATCAATTATTACAATTATCATCATATGACTAAAGACAATATAGTGTTAATATCTAGAAGTTATAAAAGCTAGAAGCGGCAAATATCACTCTTGCAGGCCTGAGCTAAAAAGGGCTAGAGCTCAAAGAGTTTAAAAAACCAAGATATAAGGATCTCAATGGCTTTAGAATGCCTGAGTGAATAATATCAAGTGCTAAAAATTCCAAAGTATAAGATATCAAAAGTCAAAAGAGTTGAAGAGCTGAAGCACACACAACAAAAGCTGAAAAACTTAAAAAGTCTAAAGCTCAAGAGATAAAAGAACTAAAGCTACCAAGCTGTGATCCACTTAAAAAATGTAATTAGTATCCTCTTAAAAGCTTACTCAAATCATTGCCAGATATTCAATTCAATTTCGTTTTAGCTGAACCTTCAAATGCATAGTTACATACCAAAGAGAAACTGGCAGTTTCAATACCAAAATGCCAACATATGTATTGGAGTATAATGGGTATATCTGAATTTCAGATCAGAATGTACAGTCATGATTTCGAATATTTAAATCAATCTTAAAATAATCTAATATTTTTAATATTATTTTGTTCATATTTCAATTCATATTCATGAAGAATTCAAATAGGACAGTACACTTTTTTTTCTAAATTATCTTATTTGTAATCAAAATATTTCTAAAAAAGATCTGCAACAATTAAAGTCATCTTAATATTTGCTTCACTAGGTGATAGAGAGCTAAAATTTTGTTATCCATGTCACTTTTCAAAATAAAAATGTTGTCAAAGTCTTTTTAAAATTGAAGAAATTGACATCACTTCAGAGGCATTAGTAGCATTCTCATATTCAAATATTACTGATATCTTAATGTCATCTGAACTGAAATAAGTGGCAGTATCAACTTCCACATTTTGTTATCCTTGATATGCAGGAGAACCACAAGTTGGAAGTTAATTTTGCAAAGTGATACAGAAGGCTGAAATGCAACTTCATCAGCTAGTACAGCAAATATTCAGTTGTGAAAAACACATGCCATAATAACATAAACATGGTTTCAGATCTGACAGTATAAAAGAATAAAAATAAAGAAAAAAAGGTAGAAATAATAGACCCAAAATATTTGTTCTGACCATGTTACACAACCCGTAAAAATAACTATTTGATTTTCATCCTGACTTACAAATTTGTTAAAAATAAAATTCACCATGGTGGTTGATTTAGGACAAATGGTAAAATATTCAACATGGTGTGAATTGATTAAGTCAGATCTTAAGATAATGTCAGCTCTTGAAATAATAAGTTGAATTATCAAATAACAAGATAATGTGCCAAATTTTTGAGATAACAAGTCTAACTCTTGAGATAACAAGTCAAACATTTGAGATAACAAGCCAAACATTTGAGATAACAAGCCAAACATTTGAGATAATGGCTAATTCTTCAGATAATTAGTCAAACTCTTCAGATAATAAATCAAACTCTATATATTAAGTCAAATTCTTCAGATAATAAATCAAATTCTCCTGATAAGTCAAATTCTTCAGATAATAAATCAAACTCTAAATATTAAGTCAAATTCTTCAGATCAAGTCAAATTCTTCTTCAGATCATATGTCAAATTCTTCAGATCATATGTCAAAGTCAAATGATAGCATCAATTTTCACCATTCAAATCAATAGATCAGACATCTATGGTTCCTGCAATTCCACTAAAGACAATCATGTAGTTGATGACATCACTAATCGCACCTTATGTGCATAATAGTAACGTCATCAAACACTCAGTTATAGTGGAGTTGCAGGAACTAGACAGAATGGTACATATTGTTGCTATCAGTTTCCCTGACACACATAAAAAGCTTTGTAAACCTCTTTACAATCCCTTTAAGAATGAGTCCTAAACCAGCCACCATAGATGACAAAAACACATCTCACTAATGTGTTTATGCTTAGAGCACACCACTAAACCTTAATTGGCACAGTGTATAGTATAATATTACCTCCTAAAATACCATTTCATGTTTAAAACCCTAATAGGAGCAGATAACATAACTATTGATATGTGTTACACAAACATTCAATTATCTATAAGACAGGTACAGCCAAGAATAATTCCATATTTCTAACAACATGGTCTTTATCAATCCCAAAATTCTGCTTGATATAAACCAACCCATAATGCTCTGTAATTTCAGATCTCAATAATCTGATTAAAATGCAAATCTAGATGTGAAGTTTTGTGTTTTTCTGTGGGCTACTTCAGTTGCTATCACAATCTGATGAAATTCTTCTTTAAATCATGTTCAATTGAATAATGAACACCTTCTCTCAAAGTTTTCGGGATAATACAGTCTGTGCACCAAAAGATGAGAATCAAAAACAGTATGCTATTGCCATTGTCCTGGCAAAATTTCCCTCATTGCACACATTTCATTTTCATCAAAAGATTTTTGACCAATCCAAAATTGGGATAAAAATATAATTTTAGAATTCCCTACCAGATATTTATATTTAGGGACCGAGAAAAACTGTTGTTGGATTATGGATGGCATGTAGAGTCAATCAACAGAAAATACACACAAAAAAAACAAGATCTGAATTTCAACCAGATTGTCAAATATGAGAACTCTTTAGAACAAAATAGGTTATAGAAATCTTAAATAATGCCCATCTTTAGTAAAATATGGAAATAGACCTGACTGTACCTTTTTAAACACTACATAAATTTATAATTCACCTATGTTTTATAAGCTTTTGCTTGAAACCAATGGACTATATAAATCCTTTTGGATTATGATGGGGCATGCTCCTTGAAGTCCTGTAATAAGTCATGTGACACGTCGAGCACAACAATTCCAACAAATAAAATATATCTAATATAAAAAATCAGCGACAAATGTTGAAAGGCAAAAATGTAATAAAGATAAGGTCCTGAATAAATGTAAACAAAACCAACAACACAATATAACTAGTTCTTCACATACCAATTTTATTTAAATAGCAGCCATTTTGAGATTTTCTGAATCTAGGTAGCTATGTACACATATTTTACAAAATTTAAAGGAATGAGAGGATTATATGCTCTAAATGTCCGGGTTCAAGCTACAGGCTTCCATGAAACCATTGAAAGCTCCTGTCCATGTGTTCTTCCTCTTCATTACCTTTCCACTGACCACTTCATCATCGTCCAATACATCTGTAGCTTCAGCGCAGTAAAACGCTTTCTGAATTTGCACTTCTTGTATCATTCCATTTCTTTCCAATATACACGTTCTCATTCTTAGGGCTGGGTATCGATAACCAAATTGAGATCGCTTATCGATGGCAGACTACCGATCAATGATTGATTAATAATCAAAATAATTTCCTTGAGAAACCTGGTAATTATGAAATAAAATGCATGCCAAAATTCATAATTTCATGGGATATTTTTGTGTCATAGCAGTATATTACTGCTTTGATAAGTTGGTATATTTTATTGTGGGTATAGTAAGTCAGGAAGTACCCTATGTGGAAGAGATTACGGGTACAGTGGAGAAAATGTAACTTCAACATTTATTCGATGATAAAATTCTATAAGCGATAATCAAAATTATAAATTACCATAATAATCGATTATTTCAATTATTTTACCCAGCCCTACACATCCTAGTGAATTTTCCTGTCCTGGTACTGTTTGACACATTAGCAGCAGTAGCTGCATCACAATCTTCAGCTCACAGAAGACACAGGAGCATCAACAAGATTCCCTATACACCAGTCATAACTTTTACTTACATTGTTCCCAGTCAACAAAGCTTTCCACCCATTCCTGCCTTTTTCTATCAGTTAATGTCTTAAGAACAAACTATAAGAAATCATCTTAAAAATCCTATTTGAAAGAAATTTTTCTTAAAAGATCATCACAAGAAACATTTCCTTACAGACAATAAATGTGCCCTTTTTTAGATCAAATCAGTTGGATATCAGTTATCAAACTTTGATTATATCCTCCATTCTGTTAGTAAATGAGAAAGGCTCAGCACATTTAAGAAGTTTCAGATGGTGAAAATCAGTTGAAGATTGGATTATTTTTTTCTCAAATTGTTGTCTTGTCCTTTTTGTATGTACAAGTTACAGTTCAAAAACAAAGGAAAGATAGCTTTTTTAATTCTTTTCCTTAAGCCTTTAAATACTAGCGACTTTTCTAGCAGGCAAATCATCATGAGATATATACTCAAGCAGATGAGATAGTAGTTACCAAGTGTTATTCCAAGTCATATTACTTGGAGTTCAGGGTATATGATATTTTATTTTATTTACACTCAGTGTTTAAAGGGTTGAGTGAGTCCAACATATTTCTGTGACAAAGATCCTCAAAATAAAAGAATGAATGCTTCTTCCCTTTCAAGTTGCTGTTCTTTCAGATCTCACTTTCCAACTGTCAGGTATATATAAGTCCTCCCAGGTGCTTTATAAAGTCTTCACACAATTGCCCAGTTCCATACCTCCTAATGATTGTGTATGTTGTTTTGTTAAAATGTCTAAGTGTATGTTGAGGTTATCTTCAGTTATAATATGAGGTATAATATGTTAACAACTGGTAACGTGACAGTATAAATCTGTGCCAGAGGTGGTTGATGTTGTTCCCTGTGTTTCACTACTGGAACCTACGCTGTCTACCGTACTCTTGTCAGATGGTGTTAATAATGACCAAAGCTCTTCAGACTGAAAATTGAAATAGAACTGTTAGATATAGATTGATAATTTAAAAATTATCTTTTAAGCATCTAAGTCTTGGTGCTCAGCATTATTTATATCAATTATTGTAGGACTCACAAAGTCCCAGTTTGTTATCATATTGTCAATTCTGTTTTTTTTTTTTTTTTTTTTTTTTTTTTTTCGAAATTTCCACAGGGCACACAGCCTAGGCTTCAATAGCTACATCAACATTTCTACATGTGTAAACCTTCTGCAGTGGCAACGTTGTTAATGAATATGAATTGGAACATTTTTGCAAAACCGTAAGTGTCACAGTGCAACATATGCAAAAACTCGTAAATTGGCTCTTGAAGGCATTTTTGCATCGATTTTCTTCGGGTTTTCATTTTTAAAATCTGGCTGTAATTTCTGATCAGATAGCACTTGAAAAATTACGAAATTCGAAAATTTGTTGCAAACTTTTTTCGATTGAATTTTGCAATTTTTTTGCAACTTTTTTGTTTTTGCATCGATTGATCTGAAATTTAAAATACAAAGAGACATCAATAAAGTCAATGATATGATACAGTCAGAGTTTTGACGTCACTTCCGGTTTTGAAGGTGGAATCAATTGAAAGTACAATCTACTTCCGGTCGAATAACTACCGGTGTAAATGAAATAGGTCATCGGAATTTATGCAGGTCGCAAGTAAAAGCTAATACAAAAAAACGAAGAATATAAAATCCAGACCGGAAGTGATACTTTGGCCGCCATCTTGATTATCTAATTTTCTTAAAATCGAAATAAGTCCTTAGGGATAAACTAAATCTGCATAAATTTGGTGTCGATGTAATCTGCTGTCTAATGTTCCCAAAACGTTGCAAGCCGATTTTTGAATTTTGCTTTTGCATTTTCGCAACTTCCGGTCGAATTTTTTAAAAGTTTGAAAGCTTATTTCTTGTGACCTTGACCTTTGATGACCCTGACCTTCATAGGGTCAAAGGTCATTGACCTTGGCTATCATTTGATACTTTGACCTTTGACCTCTGACATGTACTTCCTGTTTTATAGCTATCCGTAAAAAGCCAAATTCGCAACTTTGGACTGCTCTAGCACGTGACCTAATTAACCTAGAGTGTACATTTTTTCGGTTTCCTAATGTGCTTCTCGTGCACTTTACATAGATATAGAACAATCGTTTTTATAAAGCAAAATTGGAATTCATGATTTTTTCAAATTTGAGTTTTTTTTTTACAATATTTGCGACTTTTTGATCTTGGTGTATGTATATCTTATGATTTATTTGATGTAGAACCTTGATATTTGGAATATAACTAGACACTTTGAATATGAATTCACCTATGACAAAAAAACTTATGTGGGCGTGGCACATCTGGGTTGAATTACTAATTGTTTACATTTAGAGGCAGGGGCATAACTCGCATAGGATGCTTTTGTTCAAAAAGGGCCTTTGCACTCAATTACCTCATCCTTTTGGCCAGTTTGTGTTAACAGCTCAGTTGTTTCAGCTTTATAGTTCCAAAAAAGGAACGGGTTTTTTACATTTGGATATTTTTATTTTTCGATTTTGACCTTTGTTGACTTTTGTTGACCTATATCTTTTGACCTGTATAATGTAGAAGCTTGAAATTTGGAACACGACATAACATTTTGAATATCAATTAACCTATGCAAAAAAATTTGAGGTGGGCATGGCACATCCGGGTTAAATTACTCATTATTGACATTTTTGGCCAAGGGCATAACTCGCAAAGTATACATTTGTTCTAAATGGAACTTTGCATACAATTATCTCATGTTTTGAGCCACTTTGTCTTAGAAGTTCGGTTGTTTCCGCTTCATAGTTCAAAAAAGGAACAGGTTTTGGAAATCCAAAATTTTCAATTTTTGACCTTGACCTTTGTAGGATCAAACGTTATTGGCATTGGCTATCTATTTATACTTTTATATTTGCTGTCCTATGTCAACTTCCAGTTTTATAGTCGTGTGCAATTAGAAATTTTGATGACGTATATCTCTTGATCTTGACCTTTTTAGACCTTCTCCTTTACAAGATCAAAGTCATTGACCTTGGCTATCTGCTGATACTTTCACTTGTGAGGTCTGACGTCTACTTCCGGTATTAGAAAAATTTCTCAACTTTAGACTGTTCTTGCACATGATCTAATTATCGTGGAAGGTTGATTTTTTCAGGGTCTTTTGCAATTTGCTACATTTGCAAAGTCCCACTCTGTGCCTCGTGTGGCTCTAGTTCTATTTAGTGTTAATATTGTTTAAAATGTATGATTTGGAAAAGATAATAACTAGGTACTTGATAGATATATCAATCAAAAATTTGATGACTACAAATAAGATTTGATAGAGATATAGATCCTGAACTTACTCACAATATATACATCCTGTATTTACTCACAAGTATGATTTGATAGAGATATAGATCCTGAACATAGTCACAATATATAGATCCTGTAATTACTCACAATATATAGATCCTGTACTTACTCTACAAGTATGATATGATATAAATATAGACCCTGTCCTTACTCACAAGTATGATTTGATAGAGATATAGATCCTGAACTTACTCACAATATATAGATCCTGTACTTACTCTACAAGTATGATTTGAAATAAATATAGATCCTGTACTTACTCATAAGTATGATTTGATAGAAATGGGGATCCTGTATTTACTCTACAAGTACGATTTAATAGATATATAGATGCTGTACTTACTCCACAAGTATGATTTAATAGAGATATAGATCCTGAACTTACTCACAATATATAGATCCTGTACTTACTCACAAGTATGATTTGATAGAAATGGGGATCCTGTATTTACTCTACAAGTACGATTTAATAGATATATAGATACTGTACTTACTCTACAAGTATGATTTAATAGATATATAGATACTGTACTTACTCTACAAGTCTGATTTGATAGAGATATAGATCTTTTACTTACTCTACAAGTATGATTTCATAAAGATATAGACCCCATACTTACCCTACAAGTATAATTTGATAGAGATAATGGACATGTACTTACTCTACAAGTATAATTTGATAGAGATAATGGACATGTACTTACTCTACAAGTATAATTTGATAGAGATAATGGACATGTACTTACTCTACAAGTATGATTCGGTAGAGATATTGATAATGTACTTACTCTACAAGAATGATTTGATAGAGATATTGATACTTTACTAACTCTACAAGTATGATTTGATAGAGATATTGATACTGTACTTACTCTACAAGTATAATTTGATAGAGATTTGGACATGTACTTACTCTACAAGAATGATTTGATAGAGATATAGATCTTGTACTTACTCTACAAGTATAATTTGATAGAGATTTGGACATGTACTTACTCTACAAGAATGATTTGATAGAGATATAGATCTTGTACTTACTCTACAAGTATAATTTGGTAGAGATATAGATCTTGTACTTACTCTACAAGTATGATTTGGTGGAGATTTGGGAGATATATGACCATTTTCCAGAGGTTTGGTTGCAGTGCTACCAGCTACACATCCGTGGGGACATGGTGCACAATTTGCCTTTTCTGCTGCTATGTAACGTTTTTGTAACTGCCTGAAAAGTCAAAACAACCAATCTATTAAAGATAAAAACAAATTTCTTGTCACCTAATGTCTATTGATTCATTCACAATCACTCCATTACACCCTACACTTTACAATTGTACAACAAACACCATCAAAAATAAATTATCAATATATATGTCATGTGAATAATTACCATTGTTCTCACTCATAAACACCCTAGAAGGTTCAATTTATGACAGAGTGTGATAAATATAATGAGATTTTTAATTATCACAAGGCCATAGTCACAGCTCCGGAAGAAAGACTACGCCCAAGATTTTATGTTTCATTCTTTCACATATATCCATTTAAAGATGATTTCAGCTGAAATTCATATTGAAAGAATAGGTGCTTTTATGATTGGGAAAAATACCAGTTTGTCTTATGAGACCCTAATTAATATTAATTAGTTAATTTTGATTCAGAATACATTGGTAATTCATTTTAAGCGCTAATATTCACATAAAAGTGATGTCATAAAAGACTTATTTTTAGTGGAATTGCAGGAACCACAGACGTCTGATTGAAAATGGGAATGGTGCAAATTTATACTATCAGTGTCAGTATCAATGATTCTCTTTACGATCCTATTTTATTGCAAAATAAAGAAAAAAAACAAGAGTCTATAATAAATGCTATAATAGATGAGATTTGTACCATTCTTTATATGAAATTCAATATCATGTCTGGATAATCTAAACAGTGCTCTAGGCAGCTCTCCTACTCTTTCCTATCGACAAAATAATAAATAACATCTGTTTTTTGTCCTTATGTTTTCAAGTATTATTGTCTATGTTTAAATTAGATACTTGTAGAGTGGATGATTAAGGTTTAAACGGGGCAGTTTTTTAATTTTAAAAACATTTCTTAAAGATGGGTTCCCTTATTTTCATTTATGAAAATGAAAATTTCAACACTTCTTAAATATCAGTTTATCTCACAAGTCCGTAATTAATTCATTATAAGCTATATTAGAAGAGAATTACCAACTGAATTCCAATGATCAAGAAAGTTCAAAAAGTCCTTTTTAGTTTATCCAGACTACATACAAGGACATTTATGATTGGTGAAAACTCTTAATTATATACAATAAGAATATAATGATATGAATAAGAATACGTAATAATTCATTAGAAACACCAATTAATCAAATAGTTTGCTTATAACATATATACTATTAACTTTCAAGTATACACTTGATCAAACTGAATTTGTTTACTAATTGTTAATTAAACAGTGTGCTGTATTTCGGTATTTAGAATATGTAGGAGACCTCCATGCATAAAACTTATTCATTATGGGTCTATAGCACAGGAGCACCATTTTTTTTAACAATCATACTTTAGTCTCAGAAACAGAATTAAGCTAAGCCAATCAGTAATAGTGTTCACAGCTTACCATAGAAATTTGAGCCTTCAAATTTGAATGTTAAAATAACTACTCATCAACTTAAGATAATCTGTGATATATGGCCAAGACATATATAGAAATAGCGAGTAAAATTCCTAGTATGAGATATTTTTAAAGGAATTATGCGTTTTTCGTACATTTCTAGTACTTCTGAAGACTATTTACATATATTCACAACCCCCCAAAATGGCGCAGCTGTCCCTTTAATGCTTTAGCAGCTGATATAATTAAATTTTAAAATTATCAGAATAAAAATAATTGTTGTTAGATTTATATATTATTACTTGTAGACAATTTTAATTGGTGCTGTACATGTTTGAGGAATTGTAAGAGAACCATAGGTTGGATTTTGATTTTTAAAAGGTGACATGTATAGCTGAAATTAAGCTCTAATGATAATCTAGATGAATGTATCTGTTTAGAAAATTTACATCAAATAAGCTTGGAAATTCAGATGAAGTTAACAAAAACTTGCAACTTCAATACACATAGGCACATTTGTATTAGATTTTCATTTCATTATGAAAAATGCTACGGTTGGCTAATATTAAGATCTATTGTGAGGAAAACAAGACGTTTTGAGATGTAGAAACAGTTGGCTAGGAACCAATACATGATGGAAGATTTTAGTGAAATTCAAAACAAAAAGTATTAAGAAAACAGCAAACATTGTCTATTGTTATTTGATACTAAATAAGACGTCAGAAAAAGATTGAAAATGTAAGAAAAAGTTTTGGTAGATTAAAAAGAAAAGTGGGAGGAGCAGTCAGATTTGATTGATTGCTCTTTTTGAAATTGAAGGCTTCTTTGATGAGATTTAAAGATTTTTTTTACAAATTTTTCACTATTTTTCAGAGAACCATTGCTTTATTGCATGTTTTAACTCAAGTCTATCTAACTTTATCTTTTAAGATATAATTGACTTCCTCCAAATACAAAACTCCATCTGCAATTGTCACACAATCACCTACACATAAAAAACTATTGATTTCTAAAAACCTTCATTTTCTGCATGTTGTAAGTAAAACTACACAATTTTCAATCAAATGATTAATTAATATTTTGGAATTTGAATAAGGTTTATGACTCATATTTTTTTAATGACACAAAAGACAATTTCTCTTCCTAGAGCATATTTCACAATACTTAACAAGTAATACTATTTTTTTCTTTTTATTTGATAACTGTCTAATCCGAATAACTTTGTAACGCAGTTAAGTTCAAACAAACTCTTACATTTTTAACACTATTGCTGGTTTTTGTCAATCATGCAATACAATATGTATCATGATACAAGAGATACAATGCAATGTATGTGTATTATGATAAAAGAGATACAATAAGATACATATGTATAATGATACAAAAGATACAGTAAGATACATGTATCAAGATACAAGAGATACAATAAGATGCATATCTATCATGATACAAGAGATACAATAAGATACAAATGTATCATGATACAAGAGATACAATAGAATACATATGTTTCATCATACAAGAGAAACAATAGGATGTAAATGTATCATGATACAAGAGATACAATACAGTACATAATACAACAGATCTAATACAAAACATGTATTATACTACAAGAGATACAATACAATACATATTGTAATATGTGTTTCAATGATTTTTTCCAACTGATATAAAGAAAAGACATCTATAGAAACAGGAAAAGAAATTTCTAGTTTGAGATATTTTTGAAAGAATTATGCAAGTTTCATACATTTCTAGTACTATTTCTGAAACCTATTTACATAGATTCAAGATTAAATTCAACACCCCAAAATGATGTGTCTTTCCCTTTAACTATCATTACCTTTGTCTTAAGAAAATAACACAAACTGTTATGATAATACATGTAATACCAATAGCTGCTCCACCAATGATACCCAAATGTTGATCAGACAAAAAACCTGGATCTGCAACAAAAAACAAAATGTACTTCTCTGCAACATACTTAAATCAAAAGAACAGAAGGGGAATTTTCCTCCACAGCAGAGTATCCCAAGATATCAAGTTTCATTCCAATCAAGATGACATTTATTGTTTCTCTCATTCTTATTGCTTATTACTTGGTTTTTTAAAGGGACATCTGTATGCCATTCTTTTTGATAAATCATACTTTAGTCTCGGAAAGGGAATTTCTTTTAGCTAATCCTATCAGTAATAGTGTTCACAACTCACCATCGAAATTTAAGCCTTCAAATCCATGTGTGTCTAGAATTATCCGTGTTTGAATCTTAATATGATGACTCGTCATTTTAAGATACTCTGTGATTTATATAGTGAGTAAATTTCCTAGTTTGAGATATTTTTGAAGGAATATGCGATTTTCTTATATTTCTGGTACTTCTGAAGACTATTTACATGTTTTCAAGACTCAAATCAACCCCTCAAAATGGCCCACCAAGTAAATCAAGTACAATAACTCAAAAAACTTTAATTAAAAAATAGTGCAATTAGAACTTGTCTAAGAGTTCAATTTTTGTTATTTTGATAGGGTTCAACCTTGGGCAATAATGAAACCCATTCTTTTCAATAAATCTGTCAAAATGTGGGCATATAAAAATTTGTCACTGGCTTATTTAACATTTATCATGAAATAAATTTTCTGGTTTATTACGTATATGTACTTTTATTTGAATCAAGTGGTTAACCTGTCATGAGAACAAATCTTTTTCTAATCACATTGAAATTTAATACTAGTTGCTAGTGTGTCATCCTTGAAAGTATGTCATCCTTGAAAGTATGTCATCCTTGAAAGTATGTCATTCTTGAAAGTATGTCATCCTTGTAAGTATGTCATCCTTGAAAGTATATCATCCTTAAAAGTATATCATCCTTGAAAGTATGTCATCCTTGAAAGTATATCATCCTTGAAAGTATGTCATCCTTGAAAATATGTCATTCTTGAAAGTATATCATTCTTGAAAGTATGTCATCCTTGAAAGTTGTTGTATATACTATAGAAGAAATTGCCAAGACCTAGCTAGAATCAATGAAAAACAATTCCAAGATGTATGAAGACCTTGGGAAAGTGTTGGGCGTTAAATCCATCACAGTAAGTCACATTCATACCAATAGTAATATCTTTTCAATTAAATAAAGTAAAATACTATAATATTGAAATAGCAAATTCAATTCTGATATCTGGGTTTTAAAACAGATTTTGAAACAAGTATGGTCTTGTTTTAAAGGGACTGATCCGCCATTTTTTTTTAACTAATCTTAAGTTAGTCTCAGATAGTGGAATCAGTAATAGTGATCACAGCTCACAGTCGAAATTTGAGCTTTCAAAACCATATGTGTCCAGAATTATCCACATTTTATAGTTAAAAAGATGACTCGTCATTTCTTCATACTTTGTTATATATACAAATGCCATAGATAATAAAGTGAAATTCCTAGTTAAAGTATATTTGCAGGAATTATGCAATATTCATACATTTCTAGTACTTCTGATGACTATAGTCAAGACCTAACTCTACCCCTGAAAATGGCGAACCTGTCTTGTTAAGTTTATCAACTCATATGACATTGCAAAACCATTCTACTGATTGATGACTAAAATGGTAGCCTAATTATCACCATAATTTTTTGAGTGATAATGGGGAATTACCGGAACCAATTAGATGCAATAAGTGTACCACATAAACATAAAAAGGTTGGTAAACCTGACTTTTTTGAGTGTCATTTGGTAATTGCCATAAAAAGACAAGAGTACCATTGTAAAAATTATTTTCTTCAGTAATTGGTTTCCAAATATTTGTGTCCAGTTATGAGGACAAACCTCTTTTATTATCACACTATCATAAACAAAAAATCTTACCTTCTACCTTCATGAAAACTTTTATTATTGGGGATGGTTGGCCTTGACCGGCCTGAGTACATGCCCTTATAAGGAAAAAATATAAGGGTTTGGTCAGGTTGGATATGTTAGCTGTGTTCATCATACCTACAATAACAAAAACATTCAAATCATGTATCTGATCATTTTAGACAGAATATTTAACTCTTGTAGACAGAATAATTAACTCTTGTAGACAGAACATTCAACTCTTGTAGACAGAACATCCAGTTCTTGGGGATCGAACATTCAACTCCTGTAGACAAAAAATTCAACTCTTAAAGACAGAACATTCAGCTCATGTAGATAGAACATTCAACTTTTGTAGACAGAACATTCAGCTCTTGTAGACAGAACATTCAGCTCTTGTAGACAGAACATTCAGAACATGCAACTCATTAGGCAGAACATTCAACTCTAATTGACAGAACAATCAACGCAATGTAGACAGAATACTCCTTATATACAAAACATTAAACTACTGTGGATAGAACATTCAACTCTTGTGGAAAGATCGTGCAGAACATTAAACCCTTATTAACAGAACATTCAACACAATGTAGACAGAACATTCTACTCTTGTAGATGTAACATTCAGACCAATAAATTTTTGTAGAGAGAACACTCATGTCTTGTCGACTAAATATTCAACTCTTGTAGACAAAAAATTTAACTGTTCTAAAGAATATTCAACTATTGTAAACAGAACATTCATCATATTGAGAAAAAAATTATTTCCTTATTGAAACCTTCAACTGTTCACCATGGATAGCAGAATCATTGATGTTCAATGTGTAATAGCAAATCAGTCAAATAATTTTCTAAATAACAAAACATAGCTAACCATCAACAGATCAATATGATCAGAAAGTTTCCAACTAAATCATACATACATCTGTACTTGTAATAAAAACACATCATAGTATAGCATGGTTCATATTGCTCATGTTGATTGAGTCTGAACCTTACTCTTTATGATGAAATCTCCTTTAATAACAGAAAACTACCAGAAAGCCAGAGATATCACTAACTCAATAAGTATCGAGAGTCTGGCTAGGTTTGGAGCCTCATATATCACAATTATAAAATTCTTCAGACAAACATGTACTTATTCTACAGATATTCAATGTGTACACCTCAGTCTTATTTTAATTTCCTTTTGTTTATAAGAATATAAGCTTTTATTTTTAATCTAGTCACTTCAGTTAGGGTCTAAAGATAGCCTTCTTGAACATTCGTCTGTTTGAGGCTATTGCCAGCCAATCAAATTCCTGTCCTCTCCACCGCTGGCATTTTGTGAGACAAACAAAAGGTAAATTAAGTTTCTAATGCTTCTCCGAATATACCTTTTGTCCACCTTTATATCTGGGTTCGGCAGATCTAATTCATATATGTTTAAAACCCCTGCACCATGGGAGAAAAATCCCCACAAAACAGGGCCTAGATTTTCCTTCTCTAACCCAGCCAAAAACTTTCAAAATTGCTATTAGTTTCAATAATAATAGTAAATTTTAATGTAACAAAGGGGTAACATTTAAAATGTATATTTGTTTATAAGTTTTGTTTCAGCACAGCTTTAATGTTTAACAAAAGTACACATTGAACACATAGTCACAAATACTAACAATCAACTCAAATCTGTTCACCCTATACTATTTTTCTTCTATACCTTATCCATTGGTGAGCTTTTGCTCTACTCACAAATGTGATCTCAACACCCTGAGCATTCTTACTCTTCCTATCATGTTATTCATTAGGCCTTAAGTTTTCAAAGTGAAAGGACTGTTTCAGTGCTTCTAGATTTCATATGGTTTTGGAGGGAATTTCTATTTCAAAGATTCAGTTTTGCCATTTGTATTTCATGGATTGCTTATTGATTATGGATATAATTAGGAATTAGATCAGTCTTTATTAACGGTATGTTTTATTTTATATATTCTGAATAGTCTACTGCTTTTGTAAGGGTCTGTAAGGTTTATGTAAGCAAAGTGTATGGCAGCCATTTTTAATTCTTAAAGTTATTGCATATATATAGTTCCAGTATACATGTATTGTAGTTCAGTCGTGGTAATTGTTATTATAATAGAAGTATTTTAATTAATTCACAAATAGAGTATAAATATAGTTTTTAATAAGGTTATTGGTTCTTTTAGGTTTAAGATATTTCGTCTTACCTGCCAGTCGTGTAGTTACTTCAAACCCCCAACTTCTGGGTATGTATTTTGTATATTGTTACTGCATATTTAACATTTCATTATTTATATTAAGCAAGTACGATTAAAGTGGTATTAAGTAGATAATTTGTATTTTTAAGTATTAGCATAGTTGTAATGTTATTTTAATTATTCTGATAGTTGTATGTAATTATATTTATTGTACTTTCAGGGGTTTTGTTATATTTCGATGTTTAATAAAGTTTATAAAAATCGAACCCAGCGTAGCCTATTACATCATCTACCTCTAACCCTACAACATAACCCTACAATATAACCCTACAATATAAGGACAGATAAACAAAGTAAGAAATTTTACATTAAAATTGAAGAATTTTGATGAAATATAATAGGCTTTCTAAATAAGTTTATAAAATCACAAAGTAATGATAGAAACAACAATTTTATCTCTATTGGATTTCAACAACAAGGAGAAAAAGAAAAATATTTCATTAGAATATAACATAGAATATTGTTTTGTAGAAGAAATGTAAAATGTTTTTCTGACAATTTATTTCCAAATAGAATGACATTAAAAAAAAGGCTGAATTCTTTTAAAATTGCAATATTAGAATTGAAAATGGACTTTTATGTGGGCAAAGAAACATTCTTAAATGATTAATGATTAGAAAAATCTCTTGCAAATTGGATATTCAAATAATTAAATGTCTTAATCTAATTAGACAATTTACAAACAACATACTCCATCATGAAAATTCCATTATTTCAACTGTAATTTCACTACATATTTTATAATGGCATCCATTTTGAAAACCTGCCATCCAATCATCTGTCTTTTGGACAGTGAATTAATAATAACAATACTTACCCTCTTGATAGACTTGTGGCCATTGATCAGGTTTTTGCTCCTGGTTACTATACGATATATAATGACCTTGGATGACCCCATTAGGATAAGCAGGTCGACTCCATTCCAGCATGACCTCGTCAGGGGACACCACTCTAGCTGTTACATGTTCTGGACGTGATGGCTCTAAAAATAAAATAAGATTGAGAAAAGGTCATATTGGATGCTACACATATATGTCAAATGTGTTCCATTGTGCACTGCCAAGCTTTTACTATTTTAATTAAAAATGAATTTGGAAGCATTAATAATTTCATATTAATATACGTTTCCAAAAAATATATAGTAAATATGGGATCAGATTGAATATTCATTCAAAATATTTCATGGCATTTGTCCCAGCACAACATGAGCTATAGGGTGCTACAGAAAACACTTTATTTGGAGGATCTGCAGATAGATTTGCTATTCTAGAAGACTTCATGTGTGAAGTTCATAATATGGATTTTGAACAAAATGGAAAGTTGCCCTGGGTTGACACCTGCAATTTTTTAAATGGCTGCAAAAATCTATTTTTTTTCGCCTGAAATCAGAGGATTCTACTTTTTGGAAATTTTGTTTCATGTATGTTTCAAGCTTACATGTGTATGGAAATTTTGTTTCTATTTTGACTATAGTTAACAAGTGTATGGAAATTTTGTTTCTATTTTGACTATAGTTAACATGTGTATGGAAATTGTGTTTCTATTATGACTATAGCTTACATTTGTATGGAAATTTCTATGTCCTTGAAAATTTATTTGCTAGTAAATCATGTTTTAGACTGACTATGGTTCTCAATAATGGTAGAAAAAGCTGAGTTGTCTTTTCTGTCATCATGTGAAAAGGTAACTTATCTTAAAGTTAAATTATGTCAAATCTGTTAATGTATGAGATTTCTGATTATTGTTTAAAAATGATGTATGAATCTTAATAGACCTGACCTATATTGATAGTGAACTGTTCTATAATTAATTCAACTGGAGTTCAATAACTTCATCTCACTCATAGAGTTATTTTTTATAAGTATCACAAACTAGGTTCACAAGGATCCTTCCTACAAATAGGTCCTTGCCTACCCCTCTCGGCATTATCTTCAGTGGCGGAGCCAGGGGGAGGGGGGGCAGTGGGGTCATCCGCACACCCAATGTATCACCGAAGACATGTTTTTCGGCCAAAATCTCATAAATAGATTAGAAATCCGGGCAACCTCACATATTTTGCCCCCCCCCCCCCCCTCCTAGGACGTAAACCTGGCTCTGCCACTGATGATCTCTCCTGGATTAAAGCTTGGTCAACTAGGGAACAATGAGGACAGATGACCTATTCAAGGTCACCACAAATAATTATAGAGAATTGTGTCAACAACCAGAATGTAGTCAGTAACAAGAGTACCCTTATTAAAGTAATCATTAGCAGAATAAGCTCTGATCAGTGGATATTATATTGATGATGGTATTGGGTGAACAATGAGTTCTGAGAATTTTGTTAATCTTTATCACCATTTCCAAAGAAAAATATAGAAACAACCATATTTTTACAAAAATAACAACAAGGAATGCTGTCTACCAGCTCGTCTCTTGGCATGATCTTTGTTGGATTATCTGTTCCCATTTACAGCTGGGTCAACTGGACTAATAAGACTACACTTTCCCACACCAACCAAGATAAGAACTCATGATAACCATTTGTTTGACATAACCAAGCAGATAGTATTGGTTGATAAAGATAGCACTGGATTGGGTATAAATCTAACTTCTGCTATTTTCTACTCCAGGGAAAACATAGCCATTTTGGTGAATTTTTGTTAATTGACCCTAATCACTTTATAGTTTGTAATTTTTGATCATTATTATAGTTCGAACTCCCTTGACGACCAGACTTCTTGACTAAAGTAGATACCTCCTCCTACTACTTCTATTACTGGAAACACAAATTATGTACATTCTTGTTTGTTTCCAATTTACAAAGTTAAACATTGAAAAAAAATAAGGCTCACACTCAGTTTGTCCTTTATGAGCAGGTGTTTTATGCAATCATATGTGCGTGTTAGATGCATAGTACACAACATGCCGGCCAATGACCTGTCGGAAAATACTTTTCTCACATCATTCTTGCTATTTTCAGATCCATACAGCATAGATCTAAACATTGCTAAATTTTCCCTCAGTCTGTGGTAAGTGAAGACTTTTGCATATATGCAATACTGATTGCTTATAAATGGAGTTGTTCAAAAAAAAAAATGAGTGATTTTTTCCACGCTTATGAATACATAGAACGTTTGTACACCTACAGACAAACGGAGAAATACGCCTTCATTGTAGATACTTAAAACACACACAGTCCTATTAGGTCATATCCTGTACAGGGAAATCAATTGGAATCATTCTTGCTATAGAACAAACCAAATTTATAATGAAAATATTCTGATAAAAGTTTCAGAGTGAGGTCATTTCGAACAGAAATCTCTGCACCAAACTTAACTTATCAATTAAGATGAAAAGGTTTCTAGAAATTATTTGATATTCAATATTGTAGATTTTGACCTATTCTGAACCATTCTAAAAATCATTCTCCAAAGACTCAATCCATCCTGATGAGGTTTTTACATCCAAGACCTATGTTCAGAGCATGATGTTTTAGTTGAAGAATGAGGCAAACAACTGATTCAAGGGAAATAATTCCAGAAACACAAGAAAAAGAAAATTGATCTTCCAAAACTGGGAACTTCTCATTTTGAGGTATTGGTATAAGATTTTACTGTTTTATCTGTGGGAATAACAACCATGTGAAAAAATTGCCATTTTATTCATTGGTACCAGTCTAAAGAGTCCTGATAATTTACAACCAGAACTTGCTGGTGGTCTGAGTTTTTGTGAAGAAGTGGTACATTGTCATCCTTAAGCAACATTTAGGGATGAAGATCACATTAAACAACAGAACACAATTGAGGTGAGAGAAAAAAGAATTCAGGTTTACATCTGCATCTTAAGAGAAAGGTGAAGTTGTTGGTAATCTTTATTTACATCATTCTGTTCTATCTATATAGTCATTGTGACCATGCAGTGGTGATAGCCTCTCGAGACCTGAGGTACAAATAGGGGGGGCAGACTGACTTAGTGGGGGACACAATCAAGGTTGAGATTTAAAAGATTGCATCTCTGTGAAAGGCATAGTTGCTATCCTTTCTTGGAGCGTCGGAGAAGGTTCCCCCCAAATTTTTTCTTCGAAAAATAGAAATGATTTGGTGCATTGTGGTACATATTTTTGGGATAAAATGCATGAAAATGACATAAAGTGTGGGGTATAATTGGTTGAGGAGGAAACTACTTTCCTGTTCCATCTGTACCCGTACTGACGCAATCACTGATTGCGCTCCAAACATTACATCTAGTTGTCCATTTAATATAAATTATGAGATGGTGTTTAGATGTTGCATGATCTGATTCTTATGATAAGAGCAGACGTCATTAGATATGATAAATATACTTACTGTCCTCTCTAGTAAGAACCAAGGTTGGAGTACTGTAAACACCTTGTCCATTTCTTAACTCAGGTTTAACTGATATATTATACCATGTATAAGCATCAAGATCAGTTAATACTGCACTGTTAGAATGACTGAAAAATATAACGTTGAGCTCTTGGAGCTTTGCTAATTTCATGTTTTACTATTGGTTCACTGAAACCAACATCTTCAATCACACATTCAAAGTAACCGACAAATCCTACAAAAATTTCTGATTGATTTCAGAATCGAGTTATGGAGCAGCTGCTCTCCATTTGAAACTCCATTTCCTCTCAGTATAGAATGTTAAATTGAATTGAATTGAATGTTATTATACAACTATCAAACTGACTGACAGACAAAACTCTACTCTGTCTGTTTGTGTGTAGGACAGTGTAAATAACAAAATGTCATATACCCTGAGTTCCGAATTTTACAACTTCAAGCCTATAACATCATCATTAACATTAACACCAATTATGTATTTAATCCTTTGAACCCTGAGTTTAAATGAAATATAACATCATATACCCTGATCTCCAAATAATAAAAGTAACAGCGTATGACGTTAACGTTGTATAACGTCACTTAGCAGGTATATAGGGTTGGAAGGGTTAAAGGAAGAATATACTGGACAATGGTGAGAGGGTGACATGCTGTTGCAGATCACAGACACAAATACGAACCAAACCGTTCTAATCCAGTCATGCTGTTTCACTGTCGACAATCAGTATTTAGAATATTAAATAGACTTGAACATATGACCACAATGTAGTCCTTATCAACCACATACAATGCAAGGTTTTAACCAACACACAACAATTAAAGATTAGATTAAAACTTTTCTAATAGAATTTAAATTGCATTTACACACTTTGAAATACAATGGCGCCAAAACATTACGTGGTTGCAAGGTGGTTAAAAAAACAAAGAATACTTACGTATCAATAATCCGGACTTTACGACTTTGTTCGCACTGGTTCAAACCAAACACTGTTTCACACCTCACTTTATAGAAGAGTATATCATCATTTGACGGAAATTCCCAGGTGATTGTGATCTGGTCTGGATCCATCAGTGAGGCAATAATATTAATATTGGGACGAAGCCACGGCTGTGTATGCTGCGCATCAGAGACAGAGGTATGAAATAACTTTGACACGCTACCCGTAGCAAAACTTTTTGATTTAACCACCAGAAAAAACTCATGGAAGCTGTTTTGAGCTGAAATTAAAAAAAAAAAATCAAAAACTTACAAGGGAAATAACTCTGAATGGTTCAAAAGTTCAACAAACATGGTGTCATTTTTTTTTAAAATACTTAAATTAGTCATTTAACACGTTTGTATGCAATATTCCCTTCACTTCAATGAAACAGATATATTTCTAAAAGGGACAGATCCGCCATTCCTTTGACCAATCGTACCCTAATCTCAGAAACAGAAACTTGCTTACTCTTCTTGAACACATGCTGCCAATCTTTGACTGACCTTGTCAACTCGTTATCTTTTTGAAGAGTACAAATAGTTACTACCGTTTTTCAGCAAGACTGGAGGCCTTAGAAATGACAGAATGGAGTTTTATGTCCTACTTTTCTGCACCATGTGGGCTTGTGCAAGTGAAGACAGGCAACGCCATGCAGGCGGCATTGCGAGAAATTTTGCCAGAGCAGCGGCATTAAGGAGGCCTTTGAGTCTAGAACCTAAATAGTTATCCTTGTATAATATACGCTAAATATAAAGATATCATTAAACTTACCTAGATGAGTTAATGTAATTTGTCGTGAGGTAGGCTCATAGTTGATCACCTTAGCTGAGGACAATTGTTGTAAATTTCGTAAGAATAGAATTTGTTCAAGAATATCAACTGGTTTAGGATAGAACCAAGTTATGTGAACGGTTGTGGTATTTAAAACTGTAATGTTCACACTTGGTAGTATAGAATCTGAAAAGGATAATTTAAGATTCATATTAATATTTGGTATACTATTCAATTGTGGTGTTCAGGCACAATTAATAATAAATAAAAGCTTTGTTCTAATCAAATCCTAGATCTATAGTTTGAGTGCAATTGGGAAAGAAGTCTACCCAGTAGTCTTGATTAGCTGAGACTTATTTCCAGAGTAAACAACAAGAAAATTCAAAGAAGACCATCATATTTATCAAGATTATTGTTTTCAATTTTCAAACAGGAGCGTAAGCTATCTGGTCAGCCAGTCTGGAAGTAGAAGACCTTCGAGACAGTCTCTGGGACAGAACAAGAAAGAATAAATGAAACTATTTTTGTAACTTTTCTTGACATCAAGACATCGGTACACTTACTGTGAGACAGAGATTTAGCAGGAAATTTATGGTATATCCATGGCCATTCTTCATCTGTAAACTTTGGAAAACCTTTCTTAGTCCCTGCTAACATTCTAAATCTGTAGTTGCCATTTGTATCTAAGTCTAGAATGACACAAACAAAATCAAATCAACTAGAGCTCATCTCTTGCTGCTGACAATGACATGTGTTTCAGATACACAATCTTCACTCAGGACAGCTGGCTGAATAATGGGGTAAAAATTCCAATTGATCTTGAACATACATGTGAACTTGACGTCTGCAACGAAGATTGTCTATTTCACTTGAAAGTATTCAGTCTGCCTACACAAATTCCAGATTCATGTAAATTGTATGAAAAAAGTGATTGACAGACAAAAGAACTTGGTTTGGTATTTTTGTGTTCTGTTACCCCATGTGTTCTTTTACCCCATGTGTTCTGTAAACCCATGTGTTCTGTAGTCCATGTGTTCTGTAGTTCATGTGTTCTGTAAACTCATGTGTTCTGTAGTCCCATGTGTTCTGTAAACCCATGTGTTCTGTAAACCCATGTGTTCTGGAATCCATGTGTTCTGTAAACCAATGTGTTCTGGAGTCTCATGTGTTCTGTTTCCTCATGTGTTCTGTTATCCCATGTGTTCTGTAGTCCCATGTGTTCTGTTGCCCAATGTGTTCTGTAGATCGATGTGTTTTGTAGTCAATGTGTTCTGTAGTCAATATTCTAGAGTCCCATGTGTTCTGTTGTCCCATGTGTTCTGTGGTCCAATGTGTCCCGCAGTCAATGTATTCTAGAGTCTCATGTGTTCTGTAGTCCCATGTGTTCTGTTGCCCCATGTGTTCTGTAGACCAACGTGTTCTATAGATCCATGTGTTCTGGAGTCCCATGTGTTCTGGAGTCCCTTGTGTTCTGTGGTCCCATGTGTTCTGTAGTCAATGTATTCTAGAGTCCCATATGTTCTGTTGTCCCATGTGTTTTGTAGTCCCATGTGTTCTGTTGCCCAATGTGTTCTGTTGCCCAATGTGTTTTGTAGACCAATGTGTTTTGTAGACCAATGTGTTCTATAAATCCATGTGTTCTGTAGTCAATGTATTCTAGAGTCCCATATGTTCTGTTGTCCCATGCGTTTTGTAGTCCCATGTGTTCTGTTGCCCATTGTGTTCTGTTGCCCAATGTGTTCTGGAGTCCCATGTGTTCTGTGGTCCCAGGTGTTATGTAGACTAGAATAAAACGTTAATTTCTTATTAAATACAGGACCTCCCAGTAGTAAAAATACTCTGTAAATGTACCTTTTATGAGGTAGTTATTAAGTTGTGCTGTAATGTTAATAACATGGATCTGTTCATTTTTACCTAGACCATAATAAATCTGGTAGTCGGTCACTTTCCCATGACTCTCATCACCTGTTAACTCTTCCCATTCTAACAATACCTCACCATACCCTTGACTAGTTAATGTGGGTGATGGGAAACTTGAAGGCACTGCAATATAAAACATACTTAAAGGGGTATTTTGTAGGTTGAACAAAATTTTGTTCAGAATTTTGTGAAAACTTTACACCAAAATCTAGAGAAATATATCCCTTCTCCTGTCTGAAAGTTTTAACTTAAAAATCCAGCTATTAATTTTTTTTAACACCGAAATTATTTAAAAAGTTTACATAAACATTTAAAGCTTGTTCAGCTGTTATAAAACTACTGTAGGGATTTAAGTAAAATAAATGCCTAATTGTAGAGAAATATGTCTCCTATTTATTCTAAAGGTTTCAACTAATGATATGAAAATTTTGCATACTGCCCCTTTAAACGTCAAAAGTGTTATTTTTCAAATACGCTTTTTAGAAAAAAATCAACACTCTGTTCCACTACAATGGAGTATTAATTACTATAAAAAATACATCTAACTGCAAGGTTTTAAAAACACCATAAAAGTCACAATAGTGCCAACATCTGAACATATTTGAACATATTTGTCGAATTGTAGTAGAACCAGAAGTTGAAACTCATTTGTGCTAAGTGTTAGGGGTAGCTGAAATTGAGCTTTGGTGAACCAAATACTATTTGGCTATTAAAAAAGAGCATTGATTGCTAGCATCTTTTAATTGAATGTTGGGCAAATTACTGTCATAAATCATCATAGAGAGCTCAAAATGAAAAGGGAACTAGTGCCAGGCAGGGTATGCTTACTCTTCTAGACACCTTTTCAATATGAAATATTTCCTCATTTACAATTGATATAATTCTTCATATGAACAGTTCTTTTGTTTCAACAAAATTATTACCAAACTGTTATTTTGGATTTTGAATTTGGATCACTGATGGTTTTTTTATTGGCAAGTTTTCTCTTAGTCATAACTTACCAGATTCTAGTGTAGTTGCTATAATTGGTGTAGAGTCAATGCTAGCGCTGGTAGTGGTGTAAGTTTTAACATAGATAGAATAATTAGTATTAGGTTTTAGTCTTGTTAAACTGGTAGATAGGCTGGGATATAGCTCTACTTTATTCACTTCACGTATTGGACGATCACCACTGGAATCTAAAGAAAAAGGTTTTTGCTGCTGATCATTTAGTCAAACAGGTAAATATATCTGTTGACATTTGACTGTCAAATTTTGACATGGATGTAAACAGTGTCAGCTCAAAGAAATTGGATCCATAAAGGAAGACAATGTCCCTGACTGTCTTGGTCAAATCAACAAAATATATGTGTTTCTAAATATTTTCAAATTGAAAGGTGCATTTTGAAAATCAAGATGGCTTCTGGTTTCATGTCCTTAAACCAAATGAACTTCTGACTATGTATCCTTCCAATATCTGCTGCTCCTACCACTAAAATTTGCTGCCAGGGAAATTGCATGAATGTCTGTTGCATGTAACTTTTGCTAGTGACATCTGCCTTATAATGTTTATATTGAAAGAAGCATTTTGATACTCAGGATCACTCCGGTGTGCCTGAACCACAAAATTACAATGTAACCTTCCAATATCTGCTGCTCCAACCACCAAAATGTGCTGTGAAATTGTGTGAATGTTTGTTGCATGTAATCATTGTGTATAATAAAACTTTTGTACCTTTGTCAGTGATTTCTTTATAATTGACAGTAAAACAAAGAATGTCATCTTTGTCGTCTTCCAAAGTCCAGCTAACTACAATTTCTGTACTGGACACCCCTTTACCATGTACTGTCTTTGGAGGATTTGGAGCATGTACTGAAAATCAAACACATCCAGCTGCATCAGATCAAATGAAATTTGATGAAATACTGAAGTCAGTTTCAAAATAGGAGAGCATAGAAGAATTTGCCATCATTTCTGCATAAATGTATGATTCTGAATTAAAGTTCTATGAACAGCTATAAAATTGACTCATAATGTAACAGATAGAGGCATTGTGTTGATTTAAATTGAATATCAGACAACAGTTAAACTTACTGTTTTTACTAATTTGAAGTCGTGCCAGAGCAGATGTCCAACCATGTTTGTTTTCAGCTATACACTGATAATATCCAGAATCATCCTCTCTACTGTTGAAGATACGTAAGGAGTTCTTCTTTTCAATAACCTGTAACACAATACAGATTAGTTAATTCCGAACAGAGCGCGAGGGCTCAGTGATTTTTGATGCAAGTTTTCTAACCTAGAAGAGGTCCAGGGTTCAGCAAAGGTCAAGTTAATAATTTTGGATTTTCCCCTCTGGATTCTCCTGCCAAGGATGCAAGAGTTTTTAATTCATATGTTCAAATTGTTTCACTTTTCTGTACTTAACTAATAACAGTAGGCCTACAAAAAACCATAGCTCGAGATAATACCTGTGGATTTTTCAACCCGGTTTTCCCCTGTCAGTGATGCAGGTAAGAGGGGCTGACATGGAAAAAGCGTCTTGTCGTTCCAATGGAACAATTAACCCAGGCCCTGTGCACAGCTACAGGCTGTACACATTAAACATCCCTCGACAGTTGGAAATCGAAAAAGAGCAGGCTAATGCCACTGTCCTGGCAAAATTTCCCTCATTGCACCCTGCATGTCGTTGCCCGTCTTCATTAGCCCACATGGTGTAGAAAGGAAAGACGTAAAACTTCATTCATTTCATTTCATTTACAAAAAAAAACACAAATGATACTTCTTCTTTATTCTTGATTTAGTGATGTCACCTCTGTACAAATGTGTCCGAAATCTTTCTCTTGTAATAAAATATTAGGACAGATTTCTATAGCTACAAGATTTGATGTGAACACCATTTGACAAACATGATGGCTTAAACAGCTTACTTTAACAACTAATGTCGCAAGATCTTTAACATAGTTTAGTCAATATCTAAACCATTTGTCCTTTATTCAATATTCTCTCAGGCAGTGTTAAAGAAAACAGCAAATGATAAATTATGCAGAATCAATTTGATTATCTGGCCATGTTTTAAATGAAAAGACACCCATTAAAATCAAATTATCTGAAACTCACTTCGTGTCTGCTATCAAATTCTATTTTTTCTCCATTTTTCAACCATGTAATTTGTGGTTTTGGATATCCATTTGCTTCACATTTTAAAACTGAATGTCGAGCTATTTTATGTGCTAAACTCGTTGGGCCTTCAGTTATAAGGGGAGATTTCGGAGCTGAAAAAACAAAATGAAAGAAGAAATCCTAAATAGTCTTGATGCTAGTAAAATATCTGAAATTCCAAAAAGGTCATAAATATATGACAGTTGATAAAAAAAAAACAAAAACGGTTTTGCTGACAATAAGTTATGATAATTGGAATGATATTTTGTAATAAGTGTCATTTTTCAACATGTCTTCTTTACATTTCTGATACAAGAAGTAATTCTAACGGAAAAATTGCTGATGAAAAATGTGTTTTTTTTCCACATATGTTAGCCTAAATATTTGGAGTCCATGTAATATGTAGGCCTATGTAGGCAGTAAAAACTAGCTCAGTGGTATAAGTATGAGTCAAGATTGTCACGCAACCAAAACAGAGAAAAAACAAATTTTGGCTTATTGTTTACAAATTTTCTGTCAGGACTCTGATTGGCTGTATTCTCTTATGTACAATCCAATCAAATTGCCGCATTTACAAAATTTTGTGATCAGGTAAATTGGCTGTTTTAGTCAAGATATAAGAAGAAGTTCCTAATAGCTAGACATTGTGAAGATGCGAGAAGATATACCTGATTTTTTGATATTTTCGTCCTACAAATCATGCCATTAAACCTGATTAAGTCATGAAAATAAAACATAATTAGAGGAGAGTTTACTACAGAACTAGTAAACTATGGTTGGGATTTGAACAACATATGTTTAATGTTTTTTACAATAACAATGAATCATTTGATCTGTGAGGCAATAATATGCCAGATGAAAACAGCTGTTTAGAACACAGCATTTCCTCATTTAGTTCAATCATTATATAATATGTAGATTGATATTCTCAAAGTGTTTATTATTAATAAGTTTTAAAGGAGTTTTCCCAGATAGAGAAGATCCAAAACTTCATATTTATCACTCAAGAAATGTCCCTAGTGCGAATTTAATAAAATTATATAAAATATTGGAAAAGGCGAGTCTGGCAAAATAAAATACGTCTACTGGTAGCTTTGTTTAAAGGGATAGGTATGCCATTTTGGGGGTTGATTTAAGTATATTGTATATGTAAATAGTCTAGATCATAGAAGTTCCTTCAAAAATATCTCAAACTAGGAATTTCTTTTCCTATGTCTTTCTATATATGGCAGTGTCTCCGAATAAGACCATTTTTTAACTTTCAAACCTGGATAATTCTAGACACACATGGATTTGAAGCCTTAAATTGCAATGGTGAACTGTGAACACTTTTACTGATTGGCTAAGCTAAAAATGTCTTGCTTCTGAGACTAAGGTATGATTGGTAAAAAAAAAAAGTGCCTCTGTCCCTTTAAATAATGAACATTTGGCAGAATTTAAACCATCATGTGTATGAAATATTAAACCTTTAGCCATTCTTTCTTAAAATATGATAAATAAATTCAATTGTTCCAACTTGATCAAATCTGAAAACCTTCTACCAAATTTTCTGTCAATAATTATGGCTTCTGCAGTGTTTAAAGCTTATACTGAATGTGTTTAGAAGAACAAGGGCTCAAACTCAAATTAAATTTTCTAATTTCAGTAGGATTCATCCTTGTGTGATTAAAGCAATTTTACCAAATTTTGTCAAAAACTATCCAGAATTGTGCCTTCTATGGTGTTGACCTAAAACTTAAACCCTTTTTTGAAGAAAATTGATGATATTATTTTGATTTTTTGATAAGGTTTGGCCTGGGGTGATAATAAACAATTTCACTGTAAGTTTAATCTGTCTAGAATGGTGCCGGCTGGAGTGATAACAAGCTTAGAAGTTACTGTAGAAGGCCAAAGGACATCTGTGACAACAAAAATAACAATATACAACAACAAAATATTAATCGATTTCAACAGATGCCATTTTTACCATTTTGTCATAATTACATTATCCCTTTATATATATAAATCAAATATTAAAATCATAAAAAGTTGTTTGTAGTAAATCATTCTGTCTCTTTTCAACAGCTGTATTTCATAATATCTTGAAAAACACTGTATTTTCAAAAATAACGACAAGGAAATAATGATTGCAAATAAATCATATATGATGATTATGTATTTTCATGTCAGTTTTCTAAAATTAAAAAAAAAAACAAAAAAAAAACAATTGATTTTTTTTTTTAAATTTTCACAAAAAGGACGCTTTTCACTCAGCTATGACATAAATATTATCTCATTGTTTTTATTAATTTTCTTCACAGAGTTCAAACATGAAGTATTTATAGAGAACAGATGAATAATAATTTTCAATTTTCATTATTGAAAAAGTCGTAAATTATACCTGAAAATATTTCTAAAGTATCCTATTTACATCTATGTATCTACTTGATCAAACTGAATTTGTTTTAAAAGGGTTAATTAAAAACGGAGTGTACAAATAGTTAATTAAGCAGTTTGACCTGGTTTTGGTGTTTGTCTTTATAAGGCTTGATATTATTATTGTACAATCCGTACAGGAGTTTACTTACACCTACCAAACAGCATAACAAACTTAAAAAGTTTACCAGCGTTTAATAATTAACAGTTGTTGTTTTTTAGTTCAAAGAAAAATCAACTGGGTCATACATTTGCAAAAGTTCTCCTTTAAAAATCTCCAAATTAAAATACCATGCAAACCTGTAAATTTGTAAATTGTAAATAACAACAAATATAAAGATGTATCAAATCATGCCTGCACGATTTACAGCATTCACATGAATATTTTAAGTTGAATCTTTCAAAAATATTCCTCAACATATTGGTTACAGTTTAAAATATTTCACTCTTCAAATCTCGAAAAAAAAAAAATAGCAATGCAGTGCACATGTTTTCATTTCAACAAGTGATACAGATGGCTCATATTGAACTCGAGTAGGTAGGAATAGAATTTTTCACTAACCTGTGGTTTCAACATTGAGATTTGTTTCTCCAACTGAGGTAAATTCTGTTTGATGACCAGGTACTTTGACCATACATTTATATATACCAGCCATTGTTTTACTGACTTTAGATAATGACAAACTTCCATCTTCTAATATATCAGCCTTACTTGGTAGATCTTTACCTGAAGTCCAAATTGTCCAAATTTTATAAATAATATGGGGAATGAAATGAAATGGATTTGTACATCATGCTTTTCTGTAGCTGATAGCCTTTGACATGCAGCGTACAATTTTGATTCAAATGCAGAAATCCATCAGCCTTTACAACTCTAAAGAAGTTTGGTCAAGTAGCAGCTGGTAGGCAGGAGATAGACTACAATGCATTGCAGAACCCAACATTAACTCATACTCTCTCTTCCCAACTCTAAAGAAGTTTGGTCAAGAAGCAACTGGTAGACAGGAGATAGACTACAATGTATTGCAGAACCCAACATAAACTCATACTCTCTCTTCCAAACTCTTAAGAAGTTTTCATTAAGTAGCAGCTGGTAGACAAGCTATTTGGTTACCATGATACCTACCGTTCAATGTCCATGTTATTTGAGGACTGGGTCTACTGGTCACAATACAGTTTAATATAACTGATTCATGAGATAGTACAGTTACGTTCTTTTGTGGTTTTCTCCATATTCTAAGAGGTAAATAGGTTGTGTCTGAAAATAGAAAATTATTTACTGATGAGGCCAGATCAATTTATTTTCTTGTTTTCCAGATTTTCATGATAAATCTGTTAAAGCCTTGGTCACGTATTCTCGAAACCTTCTTAGCGCTAGGATGTCCTAGGTTCTTATCATCTAACATTGATTGATAACATTGATTTTCCAGCAGACCTGAATTTGGGGTTTTTGTTCCTTCTGATTTCTGAAAAATTGAGGTAGGAGGATCCATTAAACAAGAAAATAAATTGATCTGGTCTCAGATTGAGAAATGACTGATAACGCAAGCAAAATAATGGTTTTACTGAAAAAAAAACAAACGTTACATATTTTCAATAATTCTTTTTGTTATTTTCATTAATTAGTGTTTCAGGTGGCTTTTTCAACCAAATAAAATGTACTTCCTTTTTTTTTGACAATAAATTTCTTGCCTGTTCTATTTAATTTCATTTGAACTACATGGAAAATTATGCAGGCATAATTAGCTACTATAATAGCAACAGGCAAAAGGCAATGTTCCATTAGCGATTCTGTTGTCAGCAAACAATTAAAAAGTTAATTTTCTACCTAAACATTTTGGCACATTATTTTGATTCAGTGAATCTTATTGGTTAACAGCCTAATTTCAGAAGAAGTATAAATTTGTATACCATTGATCACATGCTATATCTTTAAAGGTATACTACCTCTTAGAATGGACATAAAGTTTAAAGTCTCAAACTTGGTCAACAAGTGAATATATTAATCATCAGTTGAACTTACCAGGTACCATGACTAAAGAATAGAATCTCTATATAAGACAATATATCCATTAAACTAAATAATTTAATTCTAAGCATGTTTCAAAATTACTAAGTTTAGCGAATTATTACTTAGTGTTATGGATTTATTAGATTATAGAGAGATTCTGTTGTATAATTATGACACTAGGTAAGTCCACTGATGAACAAAGATTCATTTTGGCCAAATTGAAAATTTCAACCTAAGAGGTAGTATACCTACAGACCTAGTTTTTGATATAACATATGTTTCAAGTTCAACATTTTATTATCATTATTTTGACCTTCTTTTTCCTCCTTTCTAATACAAGCCAGGTGCTTTTTTTCTTTGTTACTAAGGATTAAGATAGTGATATGAATCTGTTAAATTTATTCATGTTTGAAATTTCAAATTTTACCCTTATATTTTCTTTTGTAAATGTCCATTTAACTCTCTCTAGTTTCCATTGATATCATTACACTATACCTAACATGGCCAAGGACAAGGCTACACAAAATAGAATTCTTATTACAGTTTTACCTAACTTTGACATTGTCAAATCTAGCAGTTGTTCTACTATAGACCATATTCACACATAGGCCATATTGAAGCCAGAACGAATGCAAACAAATGTAACGTGTCACTGCAGTAAAATCACCACTTTGACATCTTGAAAGCTTCCTTCTCCAATCCCACTAACTCAAAACTAATCATATTTTACATTATTAAGAGCGAAATTGATTTAGCTATTAATGATACCTTCAGATGAAATTTTATTAGTGACATCACATCACATGACATCATCCAATCGAGATATATACCCAAGCAGCCTTTGACATGTTCAAAATTATTTCCCAATTTCCCATCATGCTTCCACAAGAACTGTGCTCAGCTGAAAAAAACCTTAAAACTAATTCTGTAGGTAAAAGTTGAGAGACATGAAACATACCTTGGGTGACATTTAAATTGGCCACACCTGTAACCCTCCATTTTAGCTGTGAGGAGCTTACATCAGAACTGCCATCCATTCTTAGTATTAAGGCTTTAATGACTGCAAAACATTTATAGCTACCGCTATCAGCTGCTTCCAGGTTTGTGATGATCAATGATTTTGAATCTTTTAATGTGCGAAAACTGAAAAGACACAAAGCAGATTACCTTGACTACAAATAACAATAACGATTACATATCACATTCTCACCATAGAAAACAACAATCCAGGCAAGAACAATTTGCTGGAAACTGGTTCACCATACCATCTTGAGCTTCGTCAAGAAGTCACAGGTTGGAGCTATTACCACTTTGGCATAGATTGGGCAAAATCCATTCCAATGATGCACAAGTCTTGCCAGTGAACATCGCTTTCAGTGTCTCAAAAACAAGGCGTGAATAAGGTCTATGACAGTGGAAAAGATGTAGGTTGATTATAATTGTCATTTACATAGCATTAATCTGAGAGCTGTTCCAAGACCACCTCATAATGGTGGGGCAGAATTTGAATGGTACTATGAATGCATGCCTGTGTATATAATTCACCAATTCCTTTTTGGGAACAGATATATAAAAAGGGAGATATGGCATGGACTGCCGTCTGTTATTGAAATATGCAGGTATTTGTAAATTAAACAATAATAATAAACTGATGTAAAGAATGCCACAACTCTTTAAGCCATCATCATTTTCATATCATTCACCATCTAAAACATTGTCTTAATTATTCATTATATAGAATTCATTACCAAATTTCACTGCCAAGAATTTCTGACATTTGCTATTTAACTTTCAAATATTTCCCCTTTTTTCACATTTAGACTGAGTGTTGGCATGTGAATCAAGTTTGGCACGAAAGTGTCATTATTTGAATTTTTTACCAAAAAAATGATAAAGGAAATGCCAAGCCTTATTCTATGTTTCACATAAATGAATGAATTTGATTTTTATAATCTACTTTTCTATACTTTAATGGACAAAATAAAACCAGGAAACATCATTAAACGTCAATAAGAGAAAATTGTGTTGACAAATGGATTATAAATAGCTTGCAGCACAACTGAGTCATTTCCATTTCAGCCTCTCTGACAGAAGAGTGCTACCACTAAACCCAAGCTTTAGTACCATAAGAACTGTTCTGATAAAGCATCAAAACCATCTTAATTTGACCTATAGTCTCGCAATCTGTATGTTATCAAATTGTGGTAAGCAATGGTCTGTTGTCTGGTGATCTGTTGTCTGGTGATCATGGTGATCATTTGTTTGGTGACCATTTGTTTGCTGATCAGTTGTCTGGTGATCATTTGTCTGGTGATCATTTGTTTGGTAATCAGTTGTCTGGTAATCATTTGTCTGGTAACCATTTGTCTGGTGATCATTTGTCTGGTGATCATTTGTCTGGTGATCAATTGTCTTGTGATCATGGTGATCATTTGTCTGGTAATCAGTTGTCTGGTGATTATTTGTCTGGTAACCATTTGTCTGGTGATCATTTGTCTGGTGATCAACTGTCTGGTGATCAGTTGTCTTGGAACCATTTGTCTGGTGATCATTCGTCTGGGAACCATTTGTCTGGCGATCATTTGTCTGGGGATAGTTTGTCTGGTGATCATTTGTCTGGTGATCAGTTGTTCGATGCAATTGTTTGGTGATCATTTGTCTGGTAACCATTTGTCTGGTAACCATTTGTCTGGTGATCAGTTGTCCGATGCAATTGTCCGATGATCATTTGTCTGGTGATCATTTGTCTGGTAACCATATGTCTGGTGATCATTTGTCTGGTGATAAGTTGTCCGATGCTATTGTCCAGTGATCATTTGTCTGGTGATCAACTGTCTGGTGAACAACTGCCTGTGAGCACCCTACCAACTTTTAACAGTGTTTTGATTGTTATGATAACTTTTGATGTTACCAATCTTAACATCTGCAGAACACAATTTGAAGGAGAATATCAGTAGATCATGACTGGCAAATGAAGTGACCTGCAGAAAATTATGAAACGAAACATCCAAGATATGCATTTCAAACAGATTGACAGTCTCAGACGAATAATTTCACAGAGTGACACATTCATCTAGGATGTCATCTTCAACAAATATTTTCATCAAGGTTCATTAAGATCGATAATGATTCAAAGCACCACAGTATGAGTCTGTTGCAGGCAGCACCAACAAGGCACACATGTTCAGAAATGACTGCTTGCAACTGCTGTCGAATTCTGTCAGTCAGAAGCTTTTCCTATCATATGGGCTGAATAGATGTAATGCATGCAAAAAATAAATTATCAAAGATGAAGCTCCTCCTAACAAACAATTAACATTAAAGATGGGTTTCCTTATTTTTTAGTGTCAAATTAAGCAAACTATATGATTAATTGGTGTTTTCTAATGAAATATCATGTATTTTTATTTATATCATTATGTTCTTATTGCATATAATTAAGAGTTTTAAACAATCATAAATGTCCTTGTATGTATAGTCTGGATAAACAAATAAAGACTTTTTGACCTTTCTTGATAGGTCACTGATTAGAATTCTGCTGGTAATTCTCTACTAATTTAGCTAATTATGAATTAATTATGGACATGTGAGACAAACTGGTTTTTTTCCAAGTCATTAGAACGCCCCTACTTTCTATTCATATAAGAATTAGCATTTTCATTTTCATAAAGGAAAATAAGGGAACCCATCTTTAAATTTTTTTTGTATTTCTGTTTTCCAAACAAAATTTCCTTTGAACAGAATTTACAAATCTGTTTACACTCCCTTCTGTCAACTAATTACATTGAAATTAAACTTCTTAAAAAACAACTTGTATTAGCAAGGTATCAAACTAGATGAATTATTAATGCTGAATTTTTGTACTTCTATAATGATTTTGTAAGAATACTTGATTATCAATGTGTAAGATCTATGAAGTCAAAAAGCTAATTGTTTGACAAATAATTCTATATATTAACAAAAATAAAACTGTATTTAACAAAATTCGAAATTTAATTAAAATGGTTTGCATTATGTTAAAGGGAGAGGTGCGCCATTTTGGGGGGTTGATTTTAGTCTTCAATAAATGTAAATAGTCTCCAAAAGTACAGTACGAACTGCATAATTCCTTCAAAAATATCTCAATCTAGGAATTTTACTCAGTATTTCTATAGATGTCTTTTCTATATATGGTAGAGTCTAAGAAAAGACGACTTGACTTTCAAACGTGGATAATTCGGTACACATGGATTTGAAGGCTCAAATTTCAACAGTGATAATTACTTTGAGTAATAGCTAAAAAAAAATTCCAGTTTCTAAGGCTAAGGTACGATTAGTGAAAAAAAAAAGGCGCACCTTTCCCTTTAAGAACTACAAAAGTATTTTAGATTTACTACTACTATTACTGTTACTATATTTATTAATCCGCGATATTGAATACTTCTCAGTACATCAGAACTTGATAACAGTGCACAACCTTGAGTATATTGTATTTAAGATTAAATATTGACATAAGACTTGTATTAAAGCTACTGTAATTTGAAGCCTTTTTATATTATATCATCGTAATAGATATTTGTTCTTAACAAGTACATCAAATAAAATTCAAATAAAATCTTGTGTCTCTCTACAGCCTTTGCCTTACTAGTTAATTAAACTTTTAAAGATGAACTATGTTTTTTTTTTGGCAGCACACAGAATATAAGTTGATGGTGTCTTGTAGGGATGGGGTCTTAATATTTTTATTTTATTTAAATAGGTGCATCAGAACTAATTTTCTAGTAATTAACATATTTTTACCATATCAGAGTTCGATTATATCGATATCACAGGATCATTTAAAAGTCAAAATGGTCCCTACTGAGATCTCTGGGCCATAAAAAATGAAAAATGTATTCTTTTTTCACTTCCAAAATCATGTCAGATAAATTCTCCAGCTTCACACATCAGAAAATTTTCAGGGGAGGCCACCCATTACCCTTCCTTGACCATGACTAGTGACATCTAAAATCCGCAAAGGGATTTCAAGATGCCTCCACGTCAATGAAATCCTTGCGATACTGCCGGGGCCACAAAATTTTCCATGACCCCACTTGAACTCCCCACCCCCCATACAAACGCAACTGTATACCACTGCTGAGATCCATTCTCTTTCTGTAAAAAGTCAACATAAAAAAATCCCAATATTCTGTGAAATCAAGGTGAGAATATTACTTTATTCTGATAAATCTAGAACTGGTGACTATGCACTGTTGATATTATATTGATGCCTTTGGGTCTAATAATTATCATTTCAGCTGCCAGTGAATAGTAATAATTTAAAATTAACCATAGATCAACCAAAAAATAAATTTGGTTTTCACATTTTGAATTCAGCCTTGACAGTTGTTCCCCCATCGAGTCAGTCTACCCCTTACTTGTACCCCCAGTCTAAGAACGCTAGCGCCCCCAATGTCCAATTTGAGTTCATTGTGTATATAGGATATCTTATATAGAATCAGGCCGTCTGGCTAAATATATTTCACAAACAATATTGATCTAGACTAGCACTTTAGTATATTCATTGGTAAATCCAATTTTACTAATTGTTTGAACGTAAATTGAAAAAATCAGCATGAAATAGTATACTGATAGTCGTAGGATGACTTCGCGTTTGAAAATAAAATATTAGCAAATAGTTCAGGCCTATCTTTTTAATGGCGACAAATTTCAGTCAAAATTTGAGACATTTCTGGTAGAAATTTCTTATTAAATCTAACCTTCAAAACTTAATATCTTGAACTCTTATGCAAAGTTATGTCTTTTCACAAATCATTTACCAAAAAAAAAAAATCAGTAAAGTGGCCTAACACCATAGCAAACACCAGTTGTGTATGGCTGCGAATAAGAATAGGCGTCTCAAGTTTCAAACACAACTCATATGCAACATTCATTACCCATTTCATACAACTAGTAATCACTATGGTGTAAGGAACCTTAAAATTTGATTTACAGTTATAAGTATGTTGACTAAGATAGGACTAGAGCCATATTGTCTCCTATAATCAATTAACATTTACTTTTAATATCAGTCAACAGATACACCCAAATTGCAGTCATGAACACCAACTGTTTCTAAAATGTCAACTCTATATCGCCTTCTACTAAAAACTTATCTTATTAGA